TTTCTTAATTTTCTCTTCAACTGGAAGCTGGCTTGTGCTCTCTTACAGTAGGCTATCGCTGGTGGTTTCCAGTCAATGGATATTGAGTATCTTATCTAGACAATTGCTTATAAATACTTGTACCTTTTGAACGATGGTTATGATAATTCTCGAAGTTTCAACTCCGTACAGAAGAGTTACTTACTTATGCCTGTGACTACTCGTGAGAGAGCATGGGCCGCTCACCAGCATTCTCCATCCAACACTATCCTGGGCAACCCTTTCCAGTTGTAATTCATCCTTTCCAGATCTGCTTCCATTTCCCAAAATAATGTGTTCTTTCGCCTTTGTCTTTTCCGATTCCATTCAGGATTTCAAGTTAGGGCTTGTCTCGTGATGCAGTTTGATTATTTCTGAAATGTATGTCCTATCCGTTTCCATCGACTTTTCCTAATTTCCCATTCATCTGGAAGCTGGTTTGTTCTCTCTCACAGTAGGCTGTTACTGATTGTATCCGGCCAATGGATGTTGAGTATCTTGCGTAGACAACTATTAATTAATACTTGTACCTTCTTGATGATGGTTGTATTAGTTCTCCAAGTTCAGCTCCGTACAGTAGAACTGACATGATGTTCTCACTTCTATAAATAGAATCTTTGTATTATGTGACTGGTACTTAATTTTGTTTACAATAATATGATGATGTAACTTCTCTATTTAATTAGTAAGTAGTCAGCTGAATACTTCACAATAATAATAATAAATTTATTCTTTCTAAAACTCTCTCAATGTATTAGTCGATGAGACTATAATTTATGGACGGACCAATCAGATTTACGACAATAGGTCTTAGATTTTGGCGCGAAATCCATTTATAACTGATGTCAGTCGGTGATGAAAACCCTAGATCTAATTCCTAACCCTAACCATCAAATGTGAATCATAATCCTTATCCTTCAAACTGCTTTATAACCCTCATTTAGCTCTAGTAAGTAGATCGACGCAGTGTCATTTTAGCGTCGCTCAAAGGTCGTTCATAAATTATAGTCTCATCGAACAGAGATAAGTCATTTATGTTCACTAACTCTACTTAATCAACCGTCAGCTTAAGTTTAATTCAGTTTTTTTTAATTTTTTTTCAAACTATCATGGTTGTTCTCATCGTCACACTGTTTATTTTTACCATGTCTGAAACTTATCATATTCTAGTTATGTGTTGTGACAGCTTCCGAGAATTACGACGGAGGCCCTAAGGGAGACGAAAAGTTTCCATTCAACCAGAACGTGATGGAGCTTTCTAGAATATCAACGTGGCATACTATGATTGGACAGTAGCATAGTTTGCCTGTTTGCGGATTGGCTGAATTATAATGATATTAGAACAAACGCTAATATCTATAAATACCCATGATTTTCTGTACATTCTGATTCTTACCTAACAAACACTTTTCCAGCTTCCTTCTGTCTTCTGACTTTGTGACTGTGGAGCTCCATATGTTCGAGTACCGTAGCGATATACGCTATTCTGTGTTAATCAAACAGCAAACATAACATTTTGTACAAACTAAAATGTAATGCTAATCTGATGTATCATGGTGTTGTATTAAATACTTATAACTATGAGTTTTAAAGACTGAACAACACACCATAATTTTTTTGATAGAAAGTAGAGCACTTCCTATGAAACTCATCTTTTCTCCACTCAAATTTCAGTCAGTCAGTAGGATCGTAGGTAAAAATGAGGAAAATACAACGGTGTGCATCACTATCCTCCCGAGTTCTTACTACCCCACTGAAATGGATAGTACACTGATGACTATCTCCTGAAATTCAGTCACAGAGAACCTGCTTCACATTTCAACTGATTACTATACGATAGCAAGGCTGAGAGAAGTAGCAGATACACAGAGGATGAAAAGTATTCGTAATCCGTGTTAATTGAGTTTAACTGCTTGACTACACTTTCATCGTAAATGCAAGTTTTAGAGACACAGTATATATCAGTGGTACGAGATTCTAGACTCCTAGCTAATGAAGTCTGTTGTTTGATTTGATTTACGTTTTGAACATTGAGAGCTCCAACATGGCTAGTGGGGACAAAGAAGAAACAATAGAAGAGGAGTTGATAGTAGAGATACCAGAAAATGAAGAGGGAATTCGATTGTGAACAACAGGCCTTTGAGTGTTTTTAGAGATGCAAAGATGGTCGTTATTTCCTGGTCACCTGAAAATTAGAAAGAGACAATGAGGTACGCGAACTAGATCACTGTTCTAATTCCCAAATGTCCTGTAAACAAGGGTTTGTCTTAAAGCAATTACCAGTTTAATACAAGCGACGAAAGACAGTATTCTAGTAATAAGTCAGCAGTAGGAGGATGGTCGACTTATCACGAAATAACAATCAATTACATGTTTGCAAGATGAAATAACTGCACATACTCAAATACTTTTTATTTGGTGTATTCAAAATCAGAAACGGATGAGAGTAATATTGAGAAGGCTGGTCAGTACCATGAAATCCGTAGTGATCGAAAAGAATATCACCTTTCGTAATATTACGGCAATTGTCAATCACAAATGCTGAGGTCTATGTACATAAAAGAAATAAGAAGTTAGTCAAATAAAACTTTGAGAATTTAAGTAATTTTCGTTTTACGAGGTCCTAAAACTACTTCATGGAATTAAAATGGGCGACAGTAGAATGTCACTGATTTATAGATCTCAATGCTATTGGTAGGTGAATGGTCTAAAACTTGGTCTTTGGAACTAGAAGTTCCTAAGTTACCATTATCTGATCTTAGGCCTTTTCGAAACACCACCTGTATATGTTGAAACAACCGAGTGACTAATGATGTGGTTAGGATTTTAGTACCACACAAACATGACAAATAGTTCAACGAGACTGTAGATCTCTACCGAACGAAGTGGTTAGTACTTTGCACATAATCAACGGTTGGTGATTTTATGGAACATGGTTCAAAACCGGTCGCAATAGCACAGGTTCACAGAAGATTACTGTCTCATAGTCTGGTTCCCAGCCACTAGTTGATTCAACTTAATGGTCTAATTATCGAGTGTATTATCGTACTATCCAATTTCAAGTACAAATCCTGAAACTCCCTGTTATATTTAGTCATTCGTACTAATACTAACAATTCTGTTGTCTCTACTCCTTTTCTCTTCATTTTGCTGAGGTAAGAATTATGATAAGCAGACTTTTCAGATCTTTAAGAAAAGCATCTCATTCGTCTGAACATTGTCCGTTTGGACATTCGCTGCATAACTGTGTAAAAGCCAAGCCTTCACTGAGCATCTACCCATTTATATGATTAGGTGGAGCAGGTTATATTGACTACATAAATCGAGTTCTTTCAAAGCCCACCTCCAAACATTATCCTGTCTGACTATTTAAGGAGTACAAAAATCAGTCAAAAGCTCTACCCTGACCTATCTAGTTAGTACTGTTTAGTCTGTTCTATCAGAATCATTCTTCAAAGCTATTCATAATCAAAAGAATCGGTTCTAAAGGAATACTTACTTACGTAAGTAAGTAAGTACAGCAGAGGCTATAGCTATGGACCAATTCAAGCTAAACCTCTGCGTAGAAAAACAGTACATTCAATCCCTCATTTTCCATGGTCTTAACCTTCCTTTCTATTTTCTATGATCCACTGTTTTTTCTACTATTTTCCAATTATTTTTTATAACTATTCATTATCCTTTTGAACCTTCCTATTGATCAGTCCAGTCATCACCAATTTCTGTTTATAATGTTTATGACAATGGCATTATAAAAGCGATCCGCACAGGATACACATGTGTCAACAAGAGACTGATCAATTGTAATCTTAAATATCAAAGAATATTCAAACAACCAGTACAAGTGAATTAAACTTCACTTAATTGCACAGCCTAGTGGCTATCTGGACTCAATACTTGGGTGATTAACGCTCTAATTGTTTAGAGAGAACAGTACTAGGTTTGAGTCGTGGAGCAAACATCAACTTCGAAATTCAAGCACACCAAACTGATGAGTCTCAAATAAACGAAACGCGAGACCTGACATAGATTACTAGTCACCATTCAACTCTACTTTTCATTATTCTGTTTTTAATATTTTATCAAATAGACAATTATCTTTACAGCTCTCACTATCCGTTGGATTATTATATAATTTTCTTTGAATACTTGACTTTTGTATACAACTCATGGTACGATACAACTTCAAAGTTTTGCAAATTAATTATCACTATTCAATTTTACTACAGACTGATATTATTATCATTAATATTACGGTGGTGTACGCTACTGATGTTGACAGATATAAATAAGTAGTATGTATCATCAATCGAAAGTGAAATGACTGGAGTCAGAGGGTTAAGAAAATCGAAGAGAAAAGAACGACAACAGAGGTTGATTGGTGTGTAAACGAAAGTACAACGAGGTTTGAGATAGCGGATTGATATTTTGCAAATGAAGTATTTATTGTATGATTCTCAGATTTCACTCAGTCAGTCAGTCAGCTACAATGTAGGATCAAGCACATATATGCATCGGTCCAAGCTCCTATACCTCATTAGCGCAACAAGATCAACACCAAATCCATAGAAGTAGTTACTTCAATGGTAGTAATATATAAAAGAAAGATCGTGTATAAGGATATAATACAGGATGAAAGAATCACTTGTAGAAAGAAAGATATAAAGCAACTTTAATCTCATAGTTTAAGGGCAAACAAAGAATGTATACACCTACACCATTGTGATCGATTCTGAGTCATGTCACCAAGAGTCTCCAACCATTGGTTACGATTGTCACGTGGACCCCAACCAAATAGTCTGCATCTACCAACATAGCTCAGACTAGAAATCAATGACTTCAAGCACTGATGTCACGTTCTGTAATTTTGTCTGCACTTCTGTTCTCGCTCGCTACACTACTACTACTATTTTCTTAGCAAATAAATCAATCATAAATATGATTATACACCTTAAATTGCCAAAAGAAGAAAAGAAATTCTCTTCATTGACAATTATCTTTATTCTTTTATTCATTTTAAAAATTATCCTTTGAGAAATAATATGAAAGTGTACAGAAAGAAAGAAAATGACAAACAAGGAGGCAAGGAGATAAAATGATACAGTTTACAGGATACATTAAAATGTAAAGTCATGCCGAAGAGGAGGGGGATGGATGAAATAATGTCAACAGAGGGAGAATACATGTACAACAATATTAATGATGATAATGAATAATAATGGTAATGATAATAATAATAATAATGTTAAATATCTGTTATTTAACAATGACATTTTATTCTATAATAATTGACATCGATCCGATTGTGATTTGATATGACGAAGACGTTTTTTTGGATGGAAATTTTTTAAATATTGAACTTGACGAGCATTTAATGCTCCATTTCTTTGTCTAAAATAATAATATTTAAAAAAGGTATATGGAAATGGTCAGTAAGAAACCTTCAAGATTAAGATGAATACTAGTTGATACATTATAACATAGAAACCAGCATATATGTGTATTGATTTAAGTAATTACACACTGTTAGTACAACGAGATGGAATGGTTAAGGTAATATCCAGGGTAGTAGAAATAATAACAGTATTAGTGGAAATAGAAAAGATTAGGCATCTAGTATACGACTTGAGAAGAAAATATGGATTAGCGGAATAAACGAACATTGATAAGATAATTTAGAAACTGCTTTCAAATGACCTGTTACGGCCGAGAGTGGGGAGAGTCGGCTCTCTCTCTGCCCAAATGCTCTCACATGGTCACGCGTATACAGCCATTGTCAAAGAAGTCCTACCCACTGCCTCCTCCTCTCAACACGGGGGTGTTGTATACGAAATGGAGAGAACGAAAATCAAATATCTGGCGCTTTAACCAGGTTGGTGGATATGGAGGATCCATCTGAGGGAGTTGGGAAATGCTCATCCCAAACCAACGGTTTACATGGGCCCCAAGATCCTGAGGGAACAAATGAAATATAAACCTGTTGTTGTTCAACGGCTACCAAGGGACTGCATCTCATAACGTTACTCCACTGTCTTGTGGATTAGAACTCTGGGTCAAAGGTTCGGGGTGACCCCTATGAAAACCACCTGCTTTGGTTTGAGCACCCGGGCAGTATCCTAACCCTGTCGTCTATCTCTAGCCATCAACTTACAAAGACATGCATATAAACGACACTGATCAGTGTCGTTTTGAAGGAATCCTGCAATAGTGATCCTGGAAAAAAACAATTGTAGAGATCCTTCTACAGAGTCGGAAACCTTAAACTCCATTAGAGATCACCTCGTTCGTAACCAAATTCACGGAAGTTTAGACTGATAGGGTAATACATTTTCAGTAGTGCTATTGCTTGCCGTCTGCTTAACAATGACATTGATTTATCAAAGTCCTTCAAGATAATTAATAGACAAAGAACGTCAAATTTACTAAGGTTTACTGAAGCAAAAGGTATAAAATGACTGAAACCAGATTTATATATCCAGAAAGATTCAGTTGTTAATATTGGTTTGCTTTGGTGAACTTATTCATAAATATTTGATATAAAATTCTTTTCATGACACCAATTATTAGTTAATATCAGATGGGGTTTTTGTAGATATTATAGTAATTTCAATAGTTGAGATCATGAGTCAATTGAAATTAGACTACCATGGAAAACCTGGAAGCACTGAACGGCCGTTTCATCCTATTGTGGGACTTCTCAGCAGTGCGTATCCAGGATTCCGCCTCACGAGATTCGAACCCAGGACTTATCAGTCTCGTGCGCGAGCGCTTAACCTCCCACCTTTTATATGTTCTATATTTAGTTAGTTTATTTTATTTTAAGAGTTACATAAATATAACATTAATATATTATTTCTGAATAACTCTGTTCCTATACTCTTAGTTATTTATTCTAGAATATTCTTATATCTAACTTATAAATATTCATATCGATTAACATACGAACACCTTATATCTTTCCTTCTTCTACATCAATTAGTACTCTTTTCATTGACCTTCATTAATGAGAATACTTCCATTATTATAATACATAAAGTATGTAAACTGATTTTTCTTCTTTAGAGGGTTGTAAGCAGCTGATGAAAACCGGTAAAATAGAAATAAATTCATGATATTCTACTACATTAATTATTCTTATTTATAATCAAATTTATATGAGTTCATTTGTAGATCTATTCTGTATACAAATCAAAACAATGTTAGATTTATGAATTGATGAAATCATAAATTATAGACAATCTTTAAGTAATACTAAAATGATCACTAAAAAAAATCACCAACATAATAGAGTCTAAAGACGATCGTTTACCATGACGCGCAATACTGACTAATGTTGGAAATGGTTGAATGAAAGTTAGGCGCGGCCAAACCAAAACTTGGCATCAGTCCTTGAAGTCATGTTGGTAAATGCATACTACTTCGTTGGGGTCAGCGTGACTATTGTAACAAATGGTTGGAGACTATGGGTGAGATGGCTCAGAATCAATCACAATGGCGTCAGTGTATACATTTTATCTTCCCTTAAACTGTGAGATTAAAATTGTTTTATACCGTTCTTCCTATGAACTAATTTTTTCTCCTTGTACTACCATTAAAGTAACTACTTCTATGAATTAGGTGTTTATTTTGTTGTGCTAAAGAGGTATGGCAACTTAGACTGATGCATATATGTATCCAGTTCTGCGTTTTAGCTGAGAATGAAAGAAGGTTATCAATTAGTGTAATAAATCGAAATTCACGATCTGGAGAGTTCAAGATTTGAGTTGTTATCATCATCACCAACTAACATCAGCTATAAATGGCAACAACAACAAAAAATGTGTTCTTTTTTTTGTCATATAAATGAACAAATTTCATATTTTAAATCTAATGAATTCATTCATTAATTCTAGTCTTATTATTCACTTACCCACGAATCATTTCTACAGCTTCATTGTACGGTAAACCAAGTTCAATTAAAGCGGCTGCAACAAGAGCAGGAGCTCTAAATGAAAAATTATAAAATTGAATAGATTGAAATTTAAGGAATTTTACTTGAAATTATTCTAGTTTTCAATGAAATGATTTACTTAAGTTGTACATTTGTTATTACAGTAACTTGATAAATACATATAGTAGTCTATAAGAGAATAGAAATAGAATTATATGATAAAGTGAGTCGAGATTTTAAATAACAAAAGAAGATTGGGTAGTGGTGATCGTGTGGTTCGAGAGGAATGAGAGAGGTAACTGTTTATTTAACAGATATGAAGAAAAAATGAAAAACGTGTCAGTCATAACAATTGAATAATAGTCATGGAAATTGTTAGGTCAGTGGCATATGCTCCACGAGAGGCATAAAGTATAAGTAAAGCGAAGGTTTGCAAGTTTACGGTTTTCTTAACAAGATTTTTTTTATGAGATGAGGTTTCTAAATACAAGTTCAATCAACTTCTTTTACCTAGGCTTGGGATCAGCAGAAATTCTAGAGGGGCTCCAGGTGGAACTTAAAAACAAAACAAAAACATGCTGGAGAAAGGTGTTAGGTCTATGTAATGATGAGAATTTGCACCCAGAGTTCAAGCTTGAATTGATGAACCACTAATACCCCAGTATTGTATAAGTTTTTTTCTTTGACCTCTCCTTGACACATTTTTTAACTGTGTAGATTATTTTAAAGGACGATTCCTTTGGAGCAACGTTCCCAGAGTTGATGAGGTGCTGCTGTATTTATCTAGTGATTGCTTTGCATTCCCCTTTAAAACTCCATGCCTTGTAACGTTCTGAAATGTGTTTGGAAAATGTTGGTTATGTGTGGTCAATATAACCTGACCTGTATGTGCAAACAAACATACAAATACATATCAATGTGGCCCAAACTGAAAATTCATCCTTAACACATTCACGAATAGTAAACTAGCTTGCTTGAGAAGACAATACGAAGTTTAAATGAGCAGAAAACTTTCCTCAACGGTTGCGAAATTTGTTTATTCAAGAAATATTTCCATGAAGTGAAAAAAAGTTTATAACACGCAAAAACAGATGTCGCTGACTCTTTGTGTATTAAGTTTTATGGCATATCATAATTACAATTGGAACGGAAAACTAGTGTAAATTAAGTCGATACAATCGATGTCATTCATATTGTCTTTATTAACTATGCACAGCTTGGAATTTATTGTGGCCACTGTGATATAAAAATGTTAATAACAGAAGTATATTATCATAATATTTTCTAACTCTAACCTGCCAAGTCCAGCTTTGCAGTGTACAGCTATACAACTTCCAGGTCCATGTTGACATACGTCTGTAATCAGTTGAAACCATTTTTCAATTACTACGTCTGGAGGCGGTGCACCATCATCGTATTCAAGATCCTGTAAAATATTGAAAAGATTAAGTCAATTCATGATTAAATTAATACTTCGTTCCCTTACACATAAATACATTGCCCGAATCATCTAAGAATTATTATTCAGTCAACATAAACTAATTTTGTTAAGACTTAATACACAGTGAATACATTTAAAAGATTAGTTCCCTAATATTTTTGCGGAAATCCAGTATTAGAAGAGATGTCAGTTCTTGGTGGGAAATCAGATACCACTATAACAGAATGACCTATGCTTCAGATGTACAATCTGCTTGTGTTTGGTCTGATCAACTGACTTACAGAGCATAAAATTCATTATAACTCCATAGGGTCGTCAAGATAAGTAAACCTGACCATTATACCAAGGTAGAAGCTATGGTTAGAAACACTAAACAATAATATCAGCATGAGGTTATCGAGATTGGTGAATTTCATTGAGACCCCGAACCGATCAAACTTAGACAACCATTCAAATCTTAAAAGCACTAGACGGCCGTTTCGTCCTGGCATGGGACTCCTCAACAGCGCGTAAGCAGTAATAAAACCCATGACCAGTCTTGCGCGCGAACGTTAAACCTCTAGACTTGTACACTACTGAGTGCATGGTCATTGGTCATAAGTTTAAGCTTTCGCGCGCAATGCCGATCATTCTAGGTTCTATTCCTGCATGTGTGGTCGTGTAAGCCCATCTTCACTGAGGAGTCCCATACTAAGACAAAACGGCCATCTGATGCTTCCAGGTTTTCAATTGTGGTCTAAATCAGACTGATTCATGATATCAATGAGAAAAAGTTAATATTTAATTTTTATGATAAGACCAACAAATTCATTCGACTTAACTCTGTATCATTTATATCTAGTCTAACTGATTTACAAAATATGTGAATACAATAAGCAGTTTAAATTCAGTCTACTGGAGACTTAGATCTTCAAATATCATTCGACAAAACTCTTAATCTATCAATAAATAAGAATTGAAGATGAGAAACAGAATGACAAAGAGATCTCTGAACATTTATGAAATATAATGACATATGTGGTCAGAGCTAAATTGGTAGATTCAAACCAACTGCTTGAGGTCTGTGTAATAAATATGACTAATGATTAGAAGAAATTGAGTGATATGATCTAGAATCAGTTACAATGGCCCAAATCTATTCATTCCGTATCTTCCAGATTTTCAGTTCCAGCACTTTCTCAAACATGCTTTTCAAATTTGTCGTCTCAATATTCACTATGACAACTGTTGCACTATTTCGATTCGTTTTTTTTAAATATTCATCTTATTGTGCCAATGAGTTATAGGAACTTGAGCCAACGCTCACATATGTACCTGGTTCTCATATTGATCATGACTGACTGATATGTGGTCTTCACTCAATCAGTAACAATGTAGAACTTCGTACGTACATATAACAGTTCGAGTTGCCATACCACATTACCACAGAGATACAATTTTCGATTCAAATCCCGTAGTGATAGAAAGAGTAAGAGTATACACATCATTATAATGTTTTTATTGTATCATAATAACTATGATAAACAATGAAATTTACCACAACTTCAATTCCAACAGATTCAAGCGGTTCTTTATCATAGGTAGCTTTGCATACTCGAACCAATTTGCGTACATTGTGTAATTTAAAAACCTGAATGAAAATCGTTATATAAAAAAAATATGTTCTTGAAATGAATTGACAACTATGCATAAGTATACTTATTTAGTTCATGAAAATTAGCAATACTATATAGCTTTTTGAACTCATCTAGTGAAAAAAAGAATCATTATATGGACCATTTGGGATTAACGTCGATAATGACCAGATTAATAAACTATTGAATAATAATAATAAAAAACATACTAATTTTCAAACCAGTAATTAGATGAAAGAATTTTTTTATCAAATTATTCAACAAACTCGAAATAAATCTTTGATTTCTCAATCTTTACAGAACATGAAAGTCAGTTAGTCATTCAGCTACAACGTAGGATCAAGCATATATATATGCATCAGTCCAAGTTGCCATACAGAATATGAAACCATACATACAACTTTAACTCTAAATCAATTATTTGATAAACATAAAATACATAATTGGCAGTTTTCATTCCCAATCAATAATTTAAGTTTTATTTCTATTCTATTCTAATGAATGCTTGACCTAATTTCATCCAGAGAATTAGGAATTATTAGGATGTTAAAGCGTAAATTGAGATTAAGAATGAAAGAAGAAAAAAAAAAGAAAACAAAATTAAAAGATCTATAGAAATATTCTAATAAAGTTAAATCAAGCAAATTAATCGATTGTCTTTCATTTAGAAATAGAAGTTTATTTGAATAAAGTCAACACAAACATGGATACAGAATATAATGAATTCATGGTTTCTCATCAGCTGCTTACAGCCATGTATGTATTGTCAATTGTTTCACACTATATCTTATCTCTCAATGTAAACTTTCAATACACATCAATAGTTGTAAGTAGTTGATGAGAAACCATGTAAAAGTATGATGAATTCATATTACTCGGTATGTACGTTTGTTCTCGTTATATTCAAATTCGTAAAGGTAACCAATTGAAAGAATTTTATTCGTATGCAATCTATCTATATGCTTTAATAGATTAACTGATGGATTCTTTTAGCGGTTACAATTCGAAGTTCATGTACAGTATATCATTTATATTTCTGTGTTTATCAATTATTAAATGTAGTTTGATGCCCCCAAAAGCCCTGGTACGGCCGAGAGTAGGGAGAGTCCGCTCTCCTCTCGAAATTCTCTCACATAGCCACGCGTATATAGCCTCTGCCAGGGAAGTCTAGCTCATTGCCTTCTCTCACCACAGGGGTGTTGTTTATGAAAATGAGAGGACGAAAAGCGAATGTCCGGCGCTTTATCCGGATCCCAAACCAATGGTTTACATGGGCTCCAGTATCCTGCGGGAACAAATGGCGTATGAACCAACTGTTGGTCACCGGTTTCCATGGGACTGCATCTCTTTACGATGCTCCACTGCCTTGTGGATCAGACCTTTAGGTCAAAGGCTCGTGGTGTGGCCCTCTAAGAAAACCACCTGCTTCGGTTTGGGCACCCGAGCAGTATTACAGCCCTCATACATATTGAATGAGATTTGTGTGGCGTATATGTATTTGGTGCCTCCTTGTACCAATATCGGTGTGTTAAAATAAAATAAATAAATAAATTTTAAGTTTTATGTTAAGATGCAAGGACTAGTGATTTTATGCAAATAAGCAAACTGAAATAGGTGGAGTAGGGTTCGAATCTACGACCTATTGATTAGAAATAGTTTTTTTTTAAAAAAAACACTAAGTTACACTATACGTAAAACTCCTGGGTAAAGGGCTAATGTCAGTATATTTGCTAAGCTATTGTGGCCCCCCATCATATGTTGTAAATACAAAACATTTGAGGATAACAACGGCGACTAAAGTCGAATCATGAGTCTCTGAACTTGCTAAATCAATCCAATATCTATATCGGAAAATGTAAGGATTTCTCCTGAGGTTGTCATGTTACAAATAAAGCTACCATTGAAACATTCTACTTCAGATAAGCTTCTATCTAAAAGCATACGCTTAGCGTCTAAGATTTATTAACACTTGAATAAACATCTGGTATAATTGCATTCTTCTTTCACTGCTTGCGTGACCACATAAGGCAAAAAAAACCAGCATCTCAATGATGTTACTAATATTTCTACATTAAAACCAGTGAGGTCGGTGTACTTTGTTCTATTCCAAAAGGAAGTTTTACGCCTGTGTACAAACGGGATTAGGATCTTTTAATTGTAAATAGGATTACTGAATACATTGATTAAGTGTCCCAAATATGATAGTAAAACAAATACTATCTTGTTGCACTATATGTGTTATTATCTCGTAAGATGTTAGCCTTTAAATTATATTAAAAGACGTTGAAAGACGTTCAGTCACCTAAAGTAAAATAAATCATTGGGTTTAGGATATTTTGATACATTAAGAATTCAAAACAATATATTCCCCCCTGTGTGATCAACAAAACACTGTTGATAACTCGACAACACATTGAGTCTTACACAACTAAAAACTTAATTCAGATGAGTATTGGCTTGGTTATTGTATGTAGTGATAACATAAAAATCCAGGAAGCAAGAATTTATCTAACAAGAAGCTGTAAATTTCAATTGATTATCAGACTTCACATACACAATTCAACAGCTATCCAGTTTAGTGTATTTGACCAATGTGATTTAGATTTTACACTGAGTTCAATTCGTCAGAGAAAGGAACACTAAATTTTTTTAATATAATGATGCAAATCTACTTGGTGCATAGAAATACAACGTACCATGATAAAATTCTCCATATTGTGTGCATTAGGTTCATCTGTGATTAGAAAACGAGCTGTTTTATATTCAACCAGTGTGACGTGAGGCTGTTGTAACTGACGTGAGAGTTTTGAACCTCTGGGATACGGCTGGAAACTACCATGACGAGTGTCAGCGTTTGAAAGCCGTGGCATTCTGACAACGGTGCTCTGTTCGGTAACTGGTGGATAAACTGACATGACTGAATAGTTATTTAACCTAGAAGATATAGAAGTGTGGCAAAGTAATTCATCAAGTAATTTATCTACCAAACTACAGTGAGTGGTATGTTATTAACATCTCCAAGTATAAAATTCGATATCCTAAATTGAACTATTGGTAAGCTATATATTAAATTTTTCCTAGCTCATCAATTAAATACATCTAACACAGATAGTTATGGTAAAATGTTGAATAACCAACTTGTCTGTCTAAATACAAACAAACATATAGGGAAATGCACACTAAACATTAGTCTTTTTACGGAGTCAAAAACACATTTACAATGGTTGAATATATTTGTCTTAGAGTAATTCTCTCATAAGCTAGTAACTTAGTCAACGTAACTGTTTACCATCATTCATTATGTCACTCGTCTTTTATCAATCATACAGGTGATCCACTCAATGTAAGAGTTGTTGAGTTAACTTGCATCGAATCATGTCTAACAATGGTCTACATATTGTCTTACTGTCAGAAATCATAACAGAATCAATTATATGAGGTATCCATTTCTGGAGAATATCACAATACTAACACTACTTTGCTTTAACAGTCATCAACTTAGGAGGATCAGAGAAGCCCAATTTCTTATCTAGTACAAACAGTATAAAATGCTACAACTCAGATATCGTGGAAGTCCCGTTCTATTTTTCTTGGTTGGATTCTGTTACTGTGATAAAACTGGAAGTTTCTAACGTCATGAGAGCTAATTTTACCAATAATAATTCCTCGTTCTATTAACACAAGGTTTGTCAATATAAAGAGCGAAGACGGACAAAATACGCAAAGTGTATTATATTTTAGTTGACACAGACACAACTTACTTTTACATCAAATAAAGTCGACGAACTGGAAGAAACCACTGAGCTGTGCAGTACACGTCGATAGTTGTAAACGTCAAATGATATTAGCCAAATATGCGATGAGGCCTAATCAAATGACTGGCTACTTTGGTTTGATATATTGCGCCTCGCAAAAGTTAGTATTCGTGCCGAATGACGGGGTGACACGCCGATGGCTCACTGCACTGTAAAGGTGATATGATAAAACATCAGTAACTTTCAGTTATTTGAGTACAAAAATAGGTGAATTTACGCGAACAAACCAGCCGATGATTGGAACACTATGTTAGCCATCAACTTAAGCTGAATTGAAGGACGGCAAACAATAATCTCTACTGACTTGCACTTTGCTTCGGTTTATTATATTTCCTTAGCTAGTTTATTGTGTATGTTTTGATTAGTTAGTTCATTCTGAGATTCTTCCCTAATGTCTGAGTTTATGAGATCTATTGATTACACTCAAGGGAGGTGTAAAAAATAGATTTCTGCAAGCCATTAACTGAATGCAACGTATAACGAGTACATCTTTAAAATACGCTGAGATCTACCTAGACCATTAGATTAGTGTACACAACCAACACATTACTATTGGATTTTACTTATAATTATATAAATGAACAATGTAACAGCTTTTTGGGGCATACTGAACAGTATTTATGGATGTGATTGAGCACTCAACAGGGAGACTAAAATTTATGGACTACCTCTGAGTAATATAAGTGTTCTAAGGAAACGTCACCCACTTACTACGGGTGATATAGGGTGATATATTTGTGTGAGGAATCTGGACTAGAACATGGAGTTAAGAGTTGAAATTACGAATTAGAATTAGGGTTCTCATAACAAACTGATATCAGCTTCGATGTCTGAATATGATTCAGCTGTATGGATGAGTGAATTTCACGTAAAAAATCAAAAATTGTGAGATGAAATCTGAATAATTTGTCCAGAAATTGTCGTCCTGCTCTGACGTCTCGTGCTAAAGCCAACTGCTGATATTGAGCAACAAATATAACCGATTACGCAATGAAACCAGTCAAGTATATAGGTCTAAGAAAATGGTTAGTTTTCGTGCGACTAGTGATCAATAATAATAAAACGAGTACGGAACATTTCTGTAAACCTAGTTAGTTTCACATCATCTACTTCAATGTCTGGGTACACGAAATCAGTGAAATGGTAACTACCAATATTGAGAGAATGCCTACTACTAGGAAGCCACTTGTATTATATACAGACAAATACTGGCATAAATATGCGTGTTATAACACTGTTGTTCAACAGCATACCAACTAGACAGACGATATCATTAACGCAGCGATATACTGAGTCGTATAGCGTCGCTATTATTGAACTGTAGAACTTGCGGTACTTTCATAAGTTTTTGTAAATAAAATACCACTTACAACTCGAACAAAGAATATGTACCTTTGTAAATTCATAAGCCACAAAAAAATGGCTTCATGTAATCATATATATAATTACATGATGATGTAATATTACATCACTGCTTAAGTAGGCAGTCACTTTGTTTTTTAACGAGAAACAATATATGTGAGCTATTTATAGAAATGTATTCTGACTGAGGGACCTTCTTCATCTAATAAATAAGAATTATAGACAGTTCAGTATATGTAAAAATCTGGTACTTCATTATGACGGAGTTCAGCCTCCGATTCACATCTAAATACATCGAAATTTGGGAAGACGATAACCCAATGCATCCTACATGCACGTTTTTACGTTTTGGTGAGAAAAATCTTAGAGTAAACACACTTGGGATTCATAAAACCACAGTACCTCATTGATTGTGACCTTTATGCACAGAACTCTCTTTAGATCCGTTGATTGTTTCGAACACGTAAACCATTGAACATAACATTCTTTAGTTAAATGCCAATGTGAACTGGGAAATTGCTCGAACGCCGCAGTTTAACTTCATTGATAAATTAAATTCGTCAAAAAAGACTAAGATATCAGAAACAGCCACTTGGTTAAATGGTTCAAATGGTTCAAATGGTTGTGGACGGAATAGAAGAAGCTTTCGCTTAACAGGCTTCCGTGTCTAGTAGCAGGGGATCACCAAATCCTCCAGGCAGGAACCTAGGTATGTTAACAATAAAAGAGGAAAAGAAATTGGTAAATCATAGTGTGATGCTGTCCTTGGTCCTTAAGAATAGGTCAAGTTGCCTCTTGAAGGACTCCTGAGAAGTCGCTTGGACTAGCTCGGCTGGCAGCGAATTCCAGCTTTTGACAACTCTTAAGGAGTAGAAGTTGTGTCTACATTCCGTCTTGCTATGTTGTGTTTCCAGTTTCTGGGTGTTACCCCTTAGGTTATTATTCGAACTAAGCTTAAGTAGGTGTTTAAGAGGATGTCCAGAAGTGTTAAGAATACTATAAGCCATTAATAAATCACCTCTAAGACGCCTATATTCTAATGGGTAAAGGTCTAGTGAACGGAGGCGTTCTTCGTAAGGCTTAGATTTGAGTCCTCGAACTGATTTCGTGGCTCGCCGTTGGATACGCTCCAAAGTGACCTTGTCCTTTTGGAGTGAGGGGGGAGTACTATGTTTCCGTACTCTAAATGGGGACGGATGAAACTATTGAAGATTGTGTGGAAAGTTCGTCCGTCAAACTGTCCAAAAATGCGCTTCAACGTTACCAGTGCAAGGTTTGCTCGGAAGGCATTTTTGTCACAGTTAGCGTAAGACTTTAAATCATGGGGCACCAGGACTCCTAAATCTTTTTCGACTTGGGATACTACTAGAGAGGAGTTTCCTAAGTTGTAACTGTAGTTTGCAACATGTCGCAGATGGACTACTTTACACTTTGAAGTGTTAAAGGTAAGTCCGTTATCGTCTGCCCAACTTTGAAGTCGAGTCAGATCCTCCTGAAGTGCCTGTATATCGTCTTGGTTGCGTATCTCTCTCCAAAGTTTCACGTCGTCGGCAAAAAGTAATAGTCTGACGTTACCTGTTGAGGAAGATCATTTATGTAGATCAAGAAGAGAAGAGGCCCTAGTACTGAGCCCTGGGGGACCCCACTAGGACATTCCATAGCCTGAGATAAAGTGAAATTAACCCTAACCTTAAAGTGTCGATTTTTTAGGTATGAAGTAAGCCAATCGATTAGAGGTGGTTTGATACCTAGTCGTTTGAGCTTGTTGATAAGACACAAGTGGTTAACCTTATCAAAAGCTTTTGAGAAATCAAGGTAAATGACATCAACCTTTCCCTTGCGATCGAGGATGCTTGTCCATCTGTCCACCGCAGTCAGCAGGTTGGTTATACAAGAGTAACCCTTCCTGAAACCATGCTGTTGGGGTGAGAAGAAATTTAAGGACAGTAGATAGTCATTTAAACCGTCGCATATCAGGGACTCCATGAGTTTTGAAGGTAATGACAGAAGAGCCACCGGCCGATAACTTGAAGGTTCATTGCGTCGACCACCTTTGAAAATTGGTGTGATGTGAGCCAACTTCCAATTTTCCGGTAATTTGCCTCGGCTAAGCGAGTGTGAAAACATCACGCTAAGCGGCGTTGCCAGGATTGAGGCTGCCTCCCTCAGTATGGCAGGATGAACCATATCCGGGCCAGGAGAAGTGTCTAGTCTTAAGTGCTGCAATTTCCGGAACACCAAGTCAGCGCTTAGGTCCACTTCGGAAAGTCCTGTGGAATTGCAGATGAAACTGTCGTCAGTAAAGTTGATGTCAGCCGGTTGAAATGTTTGAGAGTAATGTGCCGCCAGAAGGTTAGCGGCGTCGCCATCGTTGTTGGTCGGGCCGTTAAGACCTACCAGTTGAGAAACTCCTGTTTTGGCTTGACGAAGAGAGGCTGCATAACGGAATAGGCTTCTAGGGTTAGAGGCGAATTTGTCCATAAGCTTTGTCTGGTACTGAAGCCTGTCTTCTCTTATAGCCTTCGTGCATATGTTCCTGATATGTTTATATTGCCTATACGCTCCATCGTTATTAGTTCGTTTGTATTCCGCCCAACAGTGCCTTTTGCGGCTTAGCAGGCGAAGGGTACGGTTCTTGATTACTGTAGGTGGCTTGGAGCTTTTGGGAACCGTTTGAGGAACTGAATGGTTTGTAGCACATAAGAGCGTGTGCAGTAAGAAGTCCCAATGACCATCCACATCGAGTTGAGGGTGAACATCCCAAACCACCTGTTGTAGATAGTCATGTAGAGCTGGCACATTCAGCCGTTTAAAATTCCAACGCAAATTATTGTTGGGATACCTTAGCTTAGTTTTGATGACAAAACTGAAGGCTATGACGGCATGATCGCTCTTTCCCAGAGGAGCCAGGATTGAGAGGTTGTCAACTAGGAATTCTTCGTTAGTGAATACACAGTCTAAGCGCGATGGTGTCTGACTGTTTCTCCAACGAGTTGCCGACCTCACATTTTCATATAAGCCCAAGTCATCGATGAGGTTGAAGAACCGAGCTTCAATTGAGTTGTCGCCTCCAGATATAAAATCCCAAGCAACCCAAAAAGGGGAAATAAAGGGAACGAAAGCGCAAATAAAGGGGAAATGTCGCTTTCTCGTCTTTACGCCGGTTTTTTAGGGGAAATATCGATTTTTCCCCCTTAGGTCGTGTATTTGAGGGAAATTGGTCGCGTACAACATCCCAAATTTCGGGTGTTCGACAAATTCATATCGCCAATCGCCAAGAAGGTTTTATTACTATTTAGATATTCACGAATTAGTTCGACGCACTTGGAGACATCACCATCAACATCGGAGTCTAAGCATGTTGGTGGTGCTATAGCGGACCAGTAAGTAACCTGCATCATCTAGTGACCTTTTTCAGCTGTGATAGGTTGTATACAGTGCTGCTGAACATGTCGTAAGCTATCAATGGCTTGACTAAAACGATGAACAACATATTGTCGGCCATTACTGACTTAAATATTAATGTAAAGCAGTTTCTATTTAAGTCTAATGAACGCGAAAAACCGCATCAATTCGATTGCGGCCTCTCGAGTCAGCAGTTCCCTTAGTCATCTGAAGAGGAACTGCAGATGCTGGACACTGGTTTGCAGCAGAAAGAAACCAAGGACAGATTTGTGAGTCATTAACATGCATTTAACAATTTGTTACTATTACAGATGGCAATGGTTACTAGGTTATTGAGTGACCATCCAAAAAACATCGATGCGGTTTGTTCTGTCGCATCTCTTGACAACCTGAGGTTGCCAGTAAATTCACGTTACTTGGCACCTCTTCAAAACGAGCACTTCAGAAATGCAAGTTTTACGGCTGCATACGAAGTAACCTATATCTATTATTTAAACTTCAGGTGCTTAACTAGTCGCTTTCTCTCATCCGCTGTCAACGAAAAAGACCTTGGTAAGCTGTGCGACATCGCGACACAAGGTTACTTTCACGATATCCGAGACAAGATGATAAAGCGTAATAGAAGAAAACAAGATCAGGTATGTACTAATTTAAAGTGATAACTTCCCTACGGCTCTATAGTTACAGTCAACAATATTAACGAACATAACCGTAAGTTCAGCTTCACGTATTGGGCTGTACCAAAGCATGTCCTTGAGATATGGTTGTGACCTTTTTTCTTTTTTTAATTCAGAATTCGCGGGACGACTACCTCAATTCTCAATAGCCGTGCAATTGTATTGATGTTCTACCCACATTTCAATAAACATTATTTTGTCAAACAGTTTACTTTTTCACTTACATGGGAAACTGTAGAAGTGTTGAGAATGTGTGTTTGAGTGTCAGTGAACTTTTGATTAAATGCACATTCTTTATAAATAATACATCACATGTTCCTTCTTTTGCAGATGATTTCGAATAACAATGAATTAGCAATTGCATTGGATATGCAAAACAATCGATGCTTAAGCTTCTGCTCTAGTGTTGTACAATAATACGCTTTGCCTTTTAAATAAAAATCTCCAAAAATATGCGGGTTTTCAACTGCATTGCAGACTTATTTTAGTCTGTTGTTGAAAATAAAGGCGAACATAGGAGACCTTTGGTGTTAAGTCAATGGATGGAAAATAGGGAGTTCTGTGTGTATTTAGGCGAAAATTCGACAATTCAGCAGACATTTAGGTGAAAAGTAGACAATTCAGCGGATATTTGGGCGAAAAGTAGACAATTCTGCGGACATTTAGGCGAAAATTCGATAATTTAGCGGATATTTAGGCGAAAAATGAGTAGTTTATCGACAAAACGGCGAAAAAGGGGGAAATCCGCATTATTTATTCTGATGCGTTTTCCTCTTTATTTCCTCTTTCGCTACCAAAGCATTTACCCCTTTATTTCCCCTTTTTGGGTTGTCTGGGATACTTGTTATAAATCTATTGATTAACTTAAGGCTGCATCATGACCTCAATGAAAGGCTTCAGATATCTGGCAGCACCCAGTAAGATTAGTCCGGCGGCTCAATTAAATTGTTTTAAAGAATTTCAACAAGCATGCGCAAGTTGGTATGTACTGGAGACAAATTTTGTATATTAGTTAGCTCAGAAGCTACTGTAAATAATCTGCGAATTTTCTAATGCTAAGAGTAAGCATAAAATTTTAAGAAAGATGTTTCATTTAAAAGACCTATAATTTTTGTCGAAGCTTGTTCCTAAAAATAATGGAGGTCGGCATTTATTGACTGGAATGATTGTTGGAGGATACAAAATTATTCTGTTTCTTTTCCATTGGAACTAAAGTGTATGATGACTCAGCAAAATATCATATTTCTGTCATTCCAGATGGTGAATTTCAGAGCTCATAAAACCTCTGTGAGTGTATTTTCGCAAGTGTTTCACGGTATTCTAAGCTGAAGTGATTCTTTCATCAGCACAATTTTGAGCTTAGGTG